AGAAGGAAAAAAGAGTCCTTTTTGTGCTTGAATTTACTTGTCTGCAAGCATTCATGTATAATAAATCAGTAACTCAATAAAAATGATTTATTGCGAAGGTAAAGTTTGACAAAACATCAAGAATAGAAGTAATAAATAACTTACTGATTTCTGAARCCTACTTCGGACCAGGAAGTCGCCTCAAGTCGTCTGTGTTCCCCGTCCAGTTTTCTCTAAATCAACGAGGCCAAGGTTCCCCGCCCAATTACCCCTCAATTTTTTTCATGGTGCGGCACCTTCCCGTCCCGAAAAAGGCCTATTTAAGTTYAACGAATCAGCATAAATTGTTAAATTATATTCCCTTTGAACATCTCTGTGATACCGAATACCRACCGATCACACCTACTTAAATTAAGAATACCTCTGTACGACGGGCGCTGACTGTGTTTCTGTTATACAAATGTTTACTCATCTTTCCCAGTAGCTATTATATATAAATATCAAAACTCTGAGAAACCTGTCGGAAAATTGTAGAAATATCAATTRTTAAAGCCATCAAAATTCCATATCTTCCTCGAAATCCCGTTTAATGACTCCTTCGCCAGAGTCTTTTTCTTCYTTAATATCAAACGTCAAGATTTCTTTGCCCAGCTGTAGTTTTTGCAACTTCTCAAGTGTCCTTCGTTCCTCTTCCAACTGATAGTTTTTTCTTTCAATCGCAACACGTACCCATTTTGGTCGGTCTGACACTAGAACTTTGGCAAGAACGGCACACAAGATCAAGAAATGTTCACAGCTGAAGACGATGGCTACAACGTATCTACATTGAAAAATAAAAAAATAGTAGAAATGTGAATACTATGGTGAGAAAAAATGTTTCCTTCAAAAATTTTTCCCTTGTCAGACTCTCCTGCGTCATTCTCATTCTTTTGTGACAACCACAAAAACACAAATTTAAAAAAATGAGTGAAGTGACTAGTGGTCTCAACGTTGACAACATCACCAACTACAAGGACAACGACTACAGCAGCAACAACAACAACAATGAAAATCAAAATATTTCCAAACCTTCCATATCCTGGTTTAATAAACTGGTCGCCATCGATGGTCTCGTACATCCAAGGGCACCACGAAGCAAGCTGCTCTGATGAGAAGCCTACTATAAGACTATTGGTCAGCATGGAAAGGATCATCATCAARTACAGCACATTGTACCAAACTCCAATACTTGACACCCTATAGTGAACAGTAACAGCAATCATTAATTCATGTCCACATCCGGGATTCTACGGGGCTG